TTGCCACTTCACTATAACACTGACCTCCTCCACTTTGTTGCATAAAGATGTAACGTTGGACAGCAATAGGGATGGTAGGCTGTACCATAGTCGCGGCACTTCATAGCGAGCACACTGTCATTCTGGCACTGGCTTGACTTTCTTATGCTTGCTCGGCGTGATGATAGGGATTCGTCTGGGAATGCAGCGACCCCGGTGGAGGATAGCCAGCACCAGACTTCAGCTGGACAAGTTGGTGTGACGGTATCGTGACACTGGGATGCACATATTCACAAGTCTAGCACTCACAGTCGCTGACACCTTGAAAATACGCACTGTCTTTCTGTAAAAGTACTGAACTGCCTTAAATTAGCTATAGGTCGATGTGATGACCTTGGCTGCTGTGTGTGTGTTAAGGCTCATGGTATTGAGGGGAAAGTTTTAAATTGGATAAAATCATGGCTCACTGATAGAACACAGAGGGTCAGCATAGCTGGTGTTAAATCTGATTGGGCTGTGTAACCAATGGGGTTCCCCAGGGTGTCAGTACTGGGCCAACTCTTGTTCATAATCTACATAAACGATCTAGATACTGGGATCAGCAGTGACATAAGCAAGTTTCGGATGACATCAAAATTGGGCTGCAGATTAATTCAGGGCAGGATGCAAATGCACTACGGGAGGATTTAAATAAACTGCAGCAGTGGTCAGAAAAATGGCAAATGAAATTCAACACCAGCAAGTGCAGCGTACTTAATATTGGAAGAACAAATACTGTCAATGTATACAGCCTTAACAATCAACCTAGAGAAGTCGACTTATGAAAGAGACCTTGGGGTATTTGTAAGCTCGGACCTTCAGCCTAGAAAACATTGCGTTAATGTTTGAAATAAGGCAAAAGTGTACAGTGGTTCCTCGGTTAATGAACACAATTCGTTCCGGAAGGTCGTTTGTTAACCGAATCCATTGTTTCAATGGGATATTGGGTAATTGGTTCCAGCTCACCGAAAAATACATACAAAGTAAAAAAAAAAACAATGCAGTAAAGTACACTTACTTTGAGGTGTGTATGCAGAAGGCTCCTGGTTGATGATGATGATGGGAATTAGAAGTGGGGGTGGAGGAGAAGGGAGAAGAGAAGGAAGTGGGGGTGGAAGAGAAATCACCCCATGCTTGATGCCGTCATTTCACCAATAAAATTTTAAGTTCACTAGGTGTAATTCAAGATTATTTTCTTTAAATCAACACTGCACTGCACTATATATTGTCAATATGTTAAATAAATTTCAGAATGACCAATAATTGTACTATAAAAATGTAAAAATACTGTGTTCAAGAGACCCACAAGCAAGATGTTTCCTCCACTGAACAGAGACACAAACTGACACCTTGGTGGGTGAGTGAAGTGGCTGATGGGCGCACCAAAACCTAGTTCCCTGTACTGCAATTATGTTAAATAAGTGTTAAAATGACTAATAATTTTAATATAAAACTTGGGAAAAATATTGAATAACACAACCTTCTTAATATTTACTCCAATGGAAATGAATATAAGCCCTAGAACCGATTACTGTATTGGCGGACTAATCTTCCAGCTGGTCAGCAAGCCAAAACATGTTGACATGTTTTTGTAAGAATTTCGTTAATCGAATTTTTGCTCGTAAACCGAATTGATTATTCTTATGGAAGATATTTCGTGAACTGAAATTTCGTTAACCGAGGCGTTCGTTAACTGAGGGACCACTGTATTAGGTTTTATATCTAGAAGTGTAAGTAATAAGAGTGCGGGGATCATATTGCAATTAGATCTTGCGCTAGTCAGGCCGCACCTCGATTATGCTGTTCAGTTCTGGTGCCCTTATTATAGAATGGATATCAATTGACTGGAGTCGGTGCAGCGAAGAATGACAAAAATGATTCCAGGACTTAAAAACCTTCCATAGCAAGATAGATTAAAGAAACTAAACTTGCATTCCCTAGAAAGACGAAGTGTACGGGGAGATATGATAGAAGTATTTAAGTGGGTGAAAGGAATCAATAGAGGAGATATAGATAAAGTTCCTATAATATCCGAGCAGGATAGGACTTGTAGCAACGGATTTCAGTTGGATAAGTTTGGTTTAGGAGGGAGATAGGAAGAAACTGGTTCACAAATAGGGTGGTGGACGAGTGGAACAAGCTTAGCAACTTTGTAGTAAGTGCTGGAACGCTGGAAAGTTTTAGAAGGAGGCTAGATAGATTCATGGATGATAGAGAGTGGTAGTAACTCTCGACAGGAGCTGCCATGCACAGGCCAACTGGCCCATTGCAGACTCCTTATTTTTGTTCGTGTGTGTGTGTGTGTGTGTGTGCGTGCATGCGTGCGTGCGTACATGCGTGCGCATGTTCGTTCGTTCGTTTTCCTTACCCCCATGGGTTAAAGGGCCTGTATAGTATTACAGTAGCTGAACAAGGATGGATTCAATCATTACTTTGTTTGGTTAAGTTATTTGTTATTATTTTGAAGTACAAAGCAGTTAAATCAACATGTACAGTGTTGAAGAAAAGTCCTGTTTCCTCTTCTGCTGCTTCACGAACCCCAAGATTCAGACTCGTGAACTCGAAGCAGTATGAACTTATACTGTACATAATTCTATCCATAAATGCTTTGGATATACGAGTCTGAATCTCGGGGTTTATGGAGTGGTATAAGAGGTGACGGGACTTTTGTTTGTAACTGTATTTCTTTATCACAGAGCTAATTGGATTGCATCCTGAGTCGTCATTTCTAAAAATGAGAATTGAGGTTATTACACATAGACAACTGGACCGCGCTCCTTGACACATGATCTGTCCCGAGATGATGTCCCTTAAGACAGTTTTGAATAGGGATTCTTAGTTTTTGTCAGTTTTCTTTGTGAGGTATTACTTGGTCTTCCCTGTGTGGAGTGGAGCTCATTAGCATTGGTGATTTAATTTTTCACCTCTTATACAGGGTGTTCTGTGAATATCTTAAATAAATCGGGGTGTATTCCTGACGCATAAATAAAAATAAATGACTAATTGACCAAATTGTCAATTCTCAATAGTTTTGGAATTACAGTACATGACAGGTTTGGTAGGAATGTGATGAAACCTACGGTCACCTGAGATAAATCCCCTTAATTTCTACCTTTGGGGTCACATCAAAAGCAAGGTGTATGTTACAGAGGTCCCAAACCTTTAGGAATTGTAGTGCCATGTGCAGGACAATGTGACAAACATTTGCAACACCCCTGGGGTCTTTGAATGTGTGCCACACTCGCTAGTGCGACGGGCTGAGGCCTGCATTGAGCAAGAGGGGCGGAACTTTGAACATTTGCTGTAAATGTTAATACCAGTACAAATCATATGGCATTATTATTGTTAATTAATGTCAATAGCAATAGTGGATATTTCATATACTGTACATCCCAAAACTATTGAGAATTGACACTTTACTTATTTAGTCATTTATCTTTATTTATGTGTCAGGAATACACCCTGATTTATGAAAGTTATTTATGGAGCACCCTGTATATCTGGTCGTAGGCACTCAAGTCCTCCTTGGACTAAGATTAGGCTCTTAATTAAAGATGGATCCTAGAACTAGAACTCTTGCTCCTACTTTTGGGTTTATTGTGGAGTTCATCTGGACTGAAACTTCTTACTCTGAGATACACTGTACCTGTTGGTGGACATGGGAGGTCTGAGATACACTGTACCTGTTGGTGGACATGGGAGGTCTGAGATACACTGTACCTGTTGGTGGACATGGGAGGTCTGAGATACACTGTACCTGTTGGTGGACATGGGAGGTCTGAGATACACTGTACCTGTTGGTGGACATGGGAGGTCTGAGATACACTGTACCTGTTGGTGGACATGGGAGGTCTGAGATACACTGTACCTGTTGGTGGACATGGGAGGTCTGAGATACACTGTACCTGTTGGTGGACATGGGAAGTTAACATGCTTAAATGCTGGCCATAATCAGTGGAAGTTAACAGTAAGGTCACCAGCCATAATCTGTGAAAGTTAACAGTGGAAGTTAACAGTAAGGTCACCAGCCATAATCTGTGGAAGTTAACAGTAAGGTCACCAGCCATAATCTGTGGAAGTTAACAGTAAGGTCACCAGCCATAATCTGTGGAAGTTAACAGTAAGGTCACCAGCCATAATATGTGGACGTTAACAGTAAGGTCACCGGCAATAATCTGTGGTAGTTTCATGTAACTTGCTCTCCATTTCTGCACATCTCAGGGAGAGGATATAAGGATTCCTTACCTGATGCTTTGATCTCTCAATGCAGTGTTGGAGGAGATATTGTTTATCAGTGTTATGGGACCTGCAGGTGTGGTAGGTACTGTACTTTAAATTCCTTGTCCCTAATCTTTCATAAAATGGGAGTTCTTAGATTAATCCTTGATTTCTATATTATATGTATTATGCTACATGGCAATTAGTGAAAGGATCATTATGATTGTGATATTGAATAAATGCTGAGATTCAAGATTTCAGTATTTAGATAGAAGACTCAGTAAGGACCAAGGAGTGTTGGTTGCTGTTGTCAGAGAAACCTGTGTGTCACATAGCTTATTTAGTCTGCAGTCTGAGAGGATCCTTGGACACAGTTTGGTAGCTTTCTTAGTGGATGTTAGTAACATGGAAATAAAGAAAATTATTTTACCAACTTCATGCTTTAAAGAAATGTGACAGTATTTCCAGCGAAATTATAAAGGAAGAGTTAGCAGGAACTAGGAAGCAATAAAAAAGAAGCAGTTTGTGTAAAATATTCATTGTGTTGAATTTATAGTGTCATAGTTTAAGGTAAGATAGCCATGTGGTTGGAGTGAAAGGAGTTAATCTTTTCCATCAACAATTAAGGCTGAGTCGTATACTGATCTGTGGGATCTCAAAAAAAAATTAAGCTGATGCTTGAACTAAAGAGCACAAAGCATTTCATTTGTATTTATTTTGGTTGAACATGACTTTTTATTAAGCTTATTTCCCTCTTTTCACAGTTTTGTGGGTGACAGCCAGATCCCACTAGCATGCTCAATGTTCTTGGAAAGTCATGGCACAGAGCTCTTACGTAAAAGTTTGTATCGAAACTTTGTCTTGCATATGGTCTCCTTGCATGACTTCGGTCTCGTCGGGACTGGCGTTGTCTACAAATGTATCCTTCATTTACAAAATAAGTAAGTCTTCCAATGTCTCTAGATATTCTTTCTTTATTTATTTATACCCATTTTCACTTGTGATAATTGTTTCCTCAGACATTTGTTGTCTTAGGCTTGAAGCCTTCAGTTTATCACTTGTTCTCAATATTAATCTTATTTATTTCTCATTATTTTAAGTTAAATTTTCATACATCCTCTTACTGTGACAGGATATCTACTGATCTGGAAAACCTGGAAAAGCCAGGGAATTTTACAAATAAACCTGGAATTTTTTTGTGAATTCAGTTCAACTTCAAAATATTGTTGTTTTGACAGCAGTCTTAGCATAAATTAATGATGTACTTCTATATAATAGGTAAATAATTAAACTTTTAGGATTAAGTTCCAGTAAATAGTCCACTCAAATAGCTGAATTGTTTGTGTACGTGTCATGTTTCATGTTAGTGATCAAATAACCAAATATTACAGGTTATATCTTCTAATTCTGCAATGATTATTGTCAGAGATGAATTGTTCTTATAACTGACATTATTTAAGTGGATTATTCCACATATTTATCAGGAGTCATATAGGTGTTTCAGGCTCTCTCTTTTTTAAATGTCCAGGTTGACCCACGTGAATTGCGCAAATCCGAGGAGAAAAATATGGAGGGGGGTCAAGGTCTTTGCCGATGCTCATCACTAGGCCTAATGATCATCCTGATCATACCTGGTTAAATAAAATAGTCAGTCCAGTAGCCAGTGGCAATAAAATTATTTTATGTGCAACTGACCTACAATACAGTAGGCTCTGATATTTGGACACATATTAAGACTGTAAAAACCTCGCGAAATTCAAATCGTCCAAATTTAAATACAACTTCCTATGGAGAAAATTAATTTGAGTCTGGTACTTTCGATGTTTGGCTAAATTTTGCCTCATTTACCCCACTTTTTTGGCGAATTACTACCTGTAATAAAGTAACATTTAATAAACCAACGAAAATAACACAGATAAAGTTAAATAAAAACTAAAAACAACACAAAAAGTGTATTAACCAAAAAAAGAAAAACACAAACCGAAGACAGCAATGATGGGCTTGGGTGGAAGGTGGGTTGATTCCGAGGCTAGAGGTGGGTTAGTTGGATGTGGGCCATCCTGGGCCACATCCAGAAATCCTTCAAAGTCTAAGTCGTTCTCGAGTGGTTCAACATCTGTCGTTGCAGCGTTCTCGGCTCCATCTGCTACGCGAATGTTCTGGATTGCGTCGGCTACATCCTGGCGGCGTCGGAAGGATCTTGTTATCACAGACTGTTGTTTTTCCCTGATTTTGCAGTTGTAAATTGCCATGAGAATATCATTGAGACTGTCAAGGCGGGGCAATGCATTTTGTTGTTCAGGGGCGTCTTGAGTGAATTTCTGAAGTGATTCTTTCATGTCACTGCACTCTGCGAGAATCTTTGCCAGCTTGGCAATGGTCAATTTTTCAATCGCTCCTGGTTGTCCTTCTTCATCTGAGTTAGAATCAGAATCATTTTCAAGCATCTTAGTTATGTTTTCCTCAGAATTAAAAGTCACAAGGTTCATAATAGTGTCCTCAGCAAATTCACCGCCTACACGCCTTACTGACTCGACTGTCTCTGCTAACAGTGAACCGTTGTTTAGCTGCTGCGCACCTGAGGCACCTCCACACTTGACCTTGAGATGAGGGAAGAGTGGTGTCCAAGCGCGTGTGATTGTTGGAACATTAATCTCATGCCACGAATCAACCATTGTGTCAACAGCATTGTGAATATTAAATTTTTTCCAAAATTGCTTAACGGTTAGGATATGGGCAGGGGTGGAAGACGGTCTTCGGGTGGCAGAAGATGGTCCAGGTGTGGCAGACGGTTCAAGGGTGGTAGACTCGTTCTCATCTTCACTCTCGATATCACTAACTGTACCAATTTGTAGCAGTTCAACTTGGCTGTCAGTTTCATGGCTCATTTGGTTGTGAACGGTGCTGTAGTACATGAGCTTAACATTGACTATCAGTTCTTGATCCAGCTGCTGTATCTTTGAAGTTGTGGTCGCAGGAAGGAAGCACACTTGTACGTTATGGTGGAAGTCTACCAAATACCTAGCATGACCAGGTGCATTGTCCATGAATAACAACACCCTGAAATCAAGGTGCTTATGCCTACAATGTGCCCTTGCGTCAGGGAAAAAACACTTCTCAAACCACTTCTGTGACAGATTTTTGTCCATGTAACCTTTGGCAGTCTTCTCCCAATACACATTACCGTATATCTCAGCCTACAAGGCTACGGGGTGTATAAGACGACCCCCAAAATTTCCATTTAAAAAGTAGGTTTTGAGCTCTAATCAGTGTATAAGACTACCCCAAATGTGACACTTACCAATGGGAGCTTACTGACCCAGTAGTCCTTTACCAACCATCCCACTGACCAGTGCTGTTTACACATCCTTGGTTACAGTGAGTTCTGCTATAACGTGTGTTTTGACAACGCGAATTGGCTCTAACGCGATTGATGAATAGAGGAACAATATTTGTAAAACGCGAACGCGTTTGCTCTAATGCGATTCCACTCGAACGGTTGTTGTGGCTTGGCGCGGGGTTATGCAGTGTTTACAGTTCATGTTCGATATCACATGTTCAATTGAGTTATGTGTTTTGTTTGTGAAGAATTGCAGAAATAATTTATGTAATATTTATGTACCGTATATCACGGCCTATAAGGCGGCGGGGTGCATAAGACGCCCCCCCCAAATTTCCATTTAAAAAGTAGCTTTTGAGCTCTATTTGCTGTATAAGACCAGTACCCCAAATGTGACACTTACCCACTGACTCAGTAGTCCTTTACCAACCATCCTTGATTTTTTAAAATAAGGCCAATTCACTTCAAGTAATGTCATCAAATTATACCCGCTGGTGTAGTGTAAACACTAGTGACGTCACTGAAGCGTGTTGGGAGTGTTCCCTCGTCTCGGTGGTGTGACTATTTATACAACATGTGGTTCAACAGCAACCACCGTATTCTAATTGTGGTGTTTCATTAGGATTTGAGTGAAAAAGGTTACCAGTATGTACTTACTACATACATTTATTACACAAATATATATATATATATATATATATATATATATATATATATATATATATATATATATATATATATATATATATATATATATATATATATATATATATATATATATATATATATATATATATATATATATATATATATATATATATATATATATACTGAATATACTATGTACAAAAAATGAATGTTCAATGAATTATTTATGGTGCATTAGGGTACTGGTCACTTCTGATGGGCTATAAATAGCCTTCTTTATCTCCCCTACATCTCACCCTGAGCCAGACGGAAGGGTCTTGGTAAATAACATGTTTGCTTATTTTCCATTTACTTTAAATAGATTTACCGAATTATTTGTTTTATTTATTTATTTATAATATACTGTAATATATTAAACACACTGTAATTATTTTCTTTAATTTATAAACTGTTTTGCGACAAAGGAATGTTCTCCAGTAGTGTTTCATTAGGATTTGAGTGAAAAAATATTACGTACTTACACAATTGTTCCTCTTACTTTGACAACACAACATACATACAGTATATTATTTCTCAGTTTTGATCTTTTTTTTTAATTTTTGTATTTATTTATAGTTAGTTACTTAAAATAAGGCCAATTCACTTCAAGTAATGGCATCAAATATTACCAGCTGGTGTAGTGTAAACACTAGTGACGTCACTTGAGCGTCTGTAATTAACCGTCGATAGTTTCAAGAATTAATGCACTCATTTACTGAATATTCTTTGTAAAAAAATAAAATTTAAATCAATTATTTATAGGAGATAAATATTATTATGAGTAAATATACCGATACCGGTATGCATTACTGACCACCTCCACGGCTCCTCACTGGCAAATGGGGGGGGGGGCGTGGGGAGGGGTGTGTGATGATAGCTGTGTTTATTATAGGGGTATAAATCTCTTTTACGGTATGTTAGACAGGTTTATAATACATTTTTATTATTTTAATATACCGGTAATCTTAATTTGAATCCAGCTTGCCAAACGTAAGTTTCAGTATAAAATAATTAGTGGTAAGACCTTGTGAGTGGCTTACGATGTTTTCATCACCACTCTTGACACACTAAACCACAATATTTAAGAGGTAAGAATTTTAAACTTGGTGGTTTAGACGACCCCCTAACTTTGGGCAGATTTTTTTAATGTTCAAATTTCGTCTTATAGGCCGTGATATACGGTATACAGTATACCTGTACAGTACAGTATATGTAAATTATAAAATTTTAAATAAAAGAAAATCAAATTACGTAGCGTTTTACACCCGCGCTCTGTTTACATCACACACAGTGTTTACACACAGTGTTTACAGTTCACGTTCGACATCACATGTTCAATTGATTTATGTGTTTTGTTTGTGAAGAATTGCAGAAATAATTTATGTAATATTTATGTATACAGTATACCTGTACAGTATATGTAAATTGTAAAATTTTAAATAAGAGAGAAAAACAAAATATGTAGCGTTTTAGACCCGCGCTCTGTTTACACCACACGATCAGTCTGAAACACGTGCGAAGTTTTTAAGTGTCCTCAGTGATTTCTGATTACTGTTTCTCCAATTTTGTGACTATGGAAAAGAACATCATCTCCGGGAAGCGTTCTGGTGATCGCATTTCCGGTGGTGATCGTAAAAGAAAGGCTATAACACTTGAAGAAAAGCTTGATGTCAATCGTTTTGAAAATAAGGAAAGAACATGTGATATTGTGCGTACAACGGGAATAAAGGAATCTACTTTACGCACCATTAGAGACAATGCAGCAAAGATTAAAGCAAGCTGTATTGTTGGAAAAACCTTGAGTGCTCGCAAAAGTGTGAGATCACGGCCAAAGGAACTTGAGGAGATGGAATGGCTTCTAAGTGTTTGGATAGAAGATCAAACGAAAAAGCTTCCTCACCATTAAAGAGAAAG